GCACTCTTCTCAGATAAGATAAGCAAAACATCAAAGCAAGTCCAGACATTCTGAGGGCCTGCCTGAATCCTCACACTTTGAACAGAAAAGTCTCTGTTGAAACAACAAAGCAATGCTAAAATAAGCATTCATTCCTCAAACTCAGGCACTGAAGCAATATCCACAGAAAATACTGAAAGTCACTGTAGGCATATATAGATGTATGAAATGCCCACATACATTGAGGTTTTTCAGTCATCTTATAGGACATAATGCTGTAACAAGGAAACACGTCAATTGGAAATTATGATCATCCTAATGATTTTAATAAATGTATTGTCTCCAAAGTGACTGACAGCCTTTAATCAGCATCACCTACAAGATAAAATGCCATTTGCCTAAAGAGTAAGCCATGTAAATTAAATAAATTTTATTTAATCTGTTGTAAATACACAAAAACTTGAAGCTCTGTACCTCTATAAACATATTCACCTCCAGATTCTTCCTGTCAAAAAAAAAAAGACACTTTCTGGCATGGTACTACCTAGGAAATCTTTATGTATAAGAGAGAGAAAATCAAGTCTTAGGTAATGTTTTCTCTTACAAACTTCCTAGTTGTAGTAGGCATGACAAAGATAATGAAAATTTTTCTCAACCAATGTAATAAACTGAATAAGTTTCAAACTAAAATATTTGAATCAGATAAATACTAATAACTTCTTAACACAAGTTAAAGACTATAGTGCATTACATAATATGTAATAACTCACCTGTATATTCACTATGGTTATTTACTTGTGTGACAGTGTCAATTATAAAGACAGAGATGCTCATATCTTGTACAACAGAATGTTTAAAAAGACCCTGTGCTGTCCTACTGTCAACTCTAAAGAAGCAGATTCGCAGTTATTTGATTAAATATTCAGCTTCTGACTCCATGAAGCACAGTAGAAATTGTTGTTGCAATTTCTGGCCATTGATAACGGCTACTCAGTTTCAGTACAGGCTTCGGGTCCTGTGGGTTTTCCTAACAGCTCAATCTGCAGGATTTTCATCTGATTTTGTTTCCTAGCCTCATCTCCACATGTGCATAAGAAATAACAATCTCATCCCTGGATACGGAAATAAAATTCTGATTCAGCATTCCTCAACTCACATAAAATCTATGCATGTCTGCTAATTTATAGACATGTTTTACATGGTACTTTCAATGCCAGCATTCACTGCTTTCAGCAGAGCACTGACCTCACAACCTTTGAGAACAGTAAAACCGACAGGTTCCCAGTCTCTTGTATGGAAAGGTGAAGGTTTTGCATATACCATAATACTGTCTTATGTACTTTAAATCATCCATAACAAACTTATAAAACATATACGATATGGTCTCAATGAAAGCAGTATGTTATACTGTAATATTAAGGAAACATTGACCAAAAAGTATTTATTTAGTCCAGGAGCATTTTATTTTGCAACAACTGATTAGCTCCAATTCAGATGATGGATAAAGAATTCAGAGATAACTCATGGATGACTGAAAAGTTTATGTTTAATAAACTGAGAAATTCTGTAAATTATACTTCAATAAATTTCTATTGATTCTTCTCTACAGCTTTTACTTTGTGTGTATGAGTATTCAAAGGAAAGAAACAGAAAAAGATGAATAGGATAAAACGGAAGCCTAGAGACAAAGAAATATGTCAGAACCTATTTTTAAAAAAAAAAAAAAACATGAATCAACAGCAACTTGACTGATCCCCGCACTGGCGGCCTGAGATACCACCAGCGAGACCTGTCACCATGGGCCGGGGAGTGACTGGGTGCCCACCAGCTGCCCCTGCCACTGAGCCCCCTGCAGCCGCTGACCCAGAGGGGAGGCGATGCAAACCCCGCGGAGGCCACCGCAGCCACCGCCTCCACCGCCATCGTGCTCCAGCCCCTGCCACCTGGAGGGGAGCTGATGCTAAGTAATAGAGTGCAGGCCACAGCGCTTGACTGATCTGGAGGGGAGGGGCCAGCATACGCTGTCCCTGTCTGCAACTCACTAGCACACTGCAGTGGGAAGGGTCATCTAGCCAGCATGCTTCAGAAGAACTATAAACAACAAAGAAGGAAACTGGGGCCTCCTGGAAGAAGCAAAAAAGATGGGAAGAGGAAGCAACAACAAAAAGTCCCCAGGTCCCAACCCTGAGAACATTAACCCAGGACAGATAAATACAAAGGAGAATGAGGACAGCAAACATGCAATATCAGACACAGCACCAGTGGACATAAAGAGATATATTTAGGACCTCATAGATGAGTTCAAAAGTGAGATAATTAGCCAAATAAAGCAAGATATAAGAAGATTAATTAAAGAGATACTAAGCACCCCTCAAGCAGACACAGATGGAAGAAGGGAGGAACTCAAACAAAGGAGAGAACCATGATGAAGAATATAAAAAATAGAATACATGAAGCAGATTCAAAGAAATCACCAGCAAATTAAAAACTCTATGGAAAGATGACAAATCAGCTTGAAAGAAACTAAGGACAGATTATCCAAACTGGAGGACAATTTTGCAATGTGGGAGTATGAAAGGGAAAACTTTTTAAAAATAACAAGGAAACAAGCAGCAACAATTCAAAGGCTAGAAGATGACAAAAGGATCTATAACTTGAGAATAAAGAATGTGAATGAAGAAGCTGGCATACAAAGGAACTACAAAGGTTATTCACAGAAATAATTAAGGAAAACTTCCCAAACATAGGAAAAGGAAATGATATTCTGATATATGAGGCATACAGAACTCCAGCCACCTACAACCAAAACAGAGCTACACCCGGGCATATAGTAATCAAGATCCCAGAAATTCAATATAAGAATAGAATATTAAAAGCTATTAGAGACAAGAAACAGATAACCTACAGAGGAAGGCCCATCAGAATAACGGCAGACTTCTCAACACAAACCATCAAGTCAAGAAAAGCCTGAAGCGAAATATTCCAAGCCCTGAAAGAAAATAATCTCCAGCCCAGATTAATATACCCTGCTCAACTGTCTGTAGAAATTAATGGATAAACAAGATGCTTCCAAGACAAAGAGGATCTCAGGAAATTTGCAACCACCAATCCAACTCTACAGAGAATACTGCAGGGCATTGTAGAAAGAAAAATACTAGGATTCCAGGAACAGTGGCAGAGAGGCCTCAATGAATGGAGCATAAAACAGATTGAAGAAGATAAGCAGACAACTGATGGCAAAAAATGAGCATAACAGAAATGTGGCGGAGAAGATTTTATTCAAAACTGATATGATTGATAGTATCAAGTCTGAGAATATAGGCAACTATATCGAAGATGACAAGACTCTACGATACACATTCTGGTTTGATAACTGCCAGTTTTTGAAGTTCTATACTATATACAAAGTTGTGTTTTTATTAATACTCTTATGTACTGATATATTCATTTATACTATGTCTGATGATATAGCCAATTCTACTAGAGATAACAAGAGGCAAAACAGGAACCATGGTAGAACTTTTTGTACAATGGTCTTATATGTTTATTTCATTTCATGTGTTTATAGGAATATGTTTTGTTTTGTCTTGCTTTTTTGTTTCTCCAATAGAGAAAATATAGAAATACAAGATTCATGCATGTGTACAATCTATAAACAGTTTATGAGAATTGATCTTATGACACATGATGAAATGAACAGATACTTTGAAGAAAAGAGACACTTTAAAATACCCAGTTCTGATCCTGGAGTGTCATAATGTAAAACCCAGAAATAGTATTATTCTTTGTTCAGAGTGATATAAGCCTGCTTGGGTTTATTCAATCTCAACATAATTGAAGAGATGGATAACTGCATGTATGTTTAAGTGTATAGGATTGACAACCATATTTCTAAGTTTTTGTTGAATAGTTGAACAGAACTGTTAGCAATCTCACTGTTTGAATTCCCACTTTATATACTCCACATTAGTATCTTGAATAACTATTTGTAAGAAGACAATCTGTGATCGTCAACTAGTGATTTCTTACTGTTTTTCTTTGAAATTATGTATTATTTCTACTTGTTTTTTGTTTTGTTTAGTCTTTCTTTAAATTAAATTTTTTAAAAAGGCACTGCAGTACCCAGTGCTGACCATGGAGTGTCATGATGTGAAATCCAGCAATACTATTATTCTTTGTTCAGAATGATTTTAACCTGCTTTAGTTTAATCTAAACATAAATGAAGATATGGATAACTGCATGTACGTTTAGTGTATAGGATTGATACCATGTTTCTAAGTTTTTGTTGGACAGTTGAACTGTTTGCAGTCTCGCTGTTTGAATTCCCACTTTATATGTTCCATTTTTGTATCTTTTGTATTTGTAAGAGGGCAATATGTAAACATCAATTTAGAATTTCTTACTGTTTATTTTTTTCTCCGAACGTATGTATTATTTCTACCTATTTTCTGTTTTGCTTACTTTCTTTAAATAAATTTTTTTTTAAAAATGGATCTTAATATTAGTTATTTGCATAACCTTTCACTATGTAAACATATGTAAATACTGGGTAGGCAAAAACTAGTTCACTCATCATAAGCAGGAGTCAGACTATTACATTTTGAATACGACTTTTCAGGAAAATACAATAACGCAGGAGGAAAGAAAAAGAGAGAAAAGAGAGGAAAATGACATCCCCATCAATGAATGGGAACAAAAAATAAAATGGCATACTATATTCATGATTTGTACCATACCCTGTAAATAGGCCACATGTGTACAATTAACTATATAACCAGAGCCTTGAAAATAGAACACGTGTTTCATTCTGAAAGCCTATAATTGTACCATAGAATGCTGGCATAACAGCAAAATTATCACAGCTTTGAGGGCCTTGTTTTCTCAATAAATCAAGATATTCATGACCCTCTCTGAAGCTTATTAGTGAGACGTATGATGCTGCTGCCTGTGGTTTTCCCCACCCACCTCCCAGGATGTATAAAAGGCCCTTGTAGACAGGGACATACAGACACAAGACAGCCACTTCCAGATCCTCAACAGAACAGCCCACTCCTGACAACATGTGCTACTATGGCAACTACTACAGTGGCCTGGGCTATGGCTATGGTCGCCTAGGCTGTGGCTATGGCTGTGGCTGTGGCTATGGTGGCTATGGTTATGGCTGTTGCCGCCCCCTGTGCTGTAGAAGATACTGGTCCTATGGCTTCTACTGAAGAATTTTCAGAGCTTCTTAGCCTGTTCAACCTCCTGTTTTACCAGAATATTCTCCAACTTCCTTTACATGATAAATTTTCAACTGACTTCAAAAACACCAAATATAAATTAAATTCTCTGAAAAGCAAAGAAAACACAACATGCCATTTGGAGTCATCTGTATACGTTGGACTATATGATAGGTTGCAGAAAAGTGTATTATTTTGACTCTCAATTTTTTATTAAAAGTATATAAATAAATATTTATTTCAACATAAATATGACTTTAGTGCTATTCTACTACATTATGAATTTTAGTTATATGGTTGTGTGTTTGTGGGTGGTTAATCACATGTATGCAGTTGTGGTGTCCTCAAAGAATGTGACAAAAGGAGAAAGAAGATAAGAGGGGTTGGGAATGTAGAATAGACATAGGGAGCTCTTTTCTGATAGTTAAAAGGGTAAAATAACAAAGAAAAAGTATCCTATCTTTCTCACAGATCATAAAACTTTGCTTGTATGTACAGATCAGCCATCATTTTTGTTTTTTATGCTCCTTACCTAAAATTATCAAGATGACCATTTCAACAACAATATCTTGATTTACACATCAGGTCATATAAAACTATTTGATCTTGTCTGTTTGTGTCATTTACAACAAAAGTGGTGGGATTATATCCACTAGAACTCAAACTCTAAACATTATTTCTCGTTTGAAAATATTCTGCCTGAAGCATGATATTAGTTGTTATCTTTCAGTCACTTTTCTCATTACTTCCACAAACACTCAACACCCTAAACTTAAAGGAAGAAATTTTTATTTAGCCTCATGGTCAGCTGACTCCAAGGCAGAAACTTCAATGTGAAATGGCCTCAGCAGAGCTTAAACTATTCATCTTATGACAGACAAAGAGCAGAGGAGGAGGAGAAGAGGAGGAGGAGGAGGAGGAAACATAGCCTTCCACACCATCCTACAATAAATCAGCTAAATGGCCCCAGCTCCTCAGAGTGCACTCAGCTACTGACAGATAAATATGCTGATGGGTCCAGAACCACCGTGATGCTCTCATTTCCCAAAGCCTTACCTTTGAATGCATAGACCATTACTGGTGTTACATATAGAAAATGACAGGAAAAATAACAATATTCTGGCTGAGGAATATGGATTCACATAGTTTTCTAACATACAGAAATTCGTTCTCTCCATTCATAAAATAATATACTTTATGTGCATATCAAAAATAATTTTGTCTATAATCAGGCAATAACTGTTAAGTAACAAATTATCTTTAGATATTTTTACCCTTGATCCTGGCCATTATAAAATATGCACATGAATGTCAATTTTCTCCAGATTAAAATTGCTTCCATTTTAAAAGAAATTAGTTTTCACCTGTGTTCAGCAGCATAAAATCAAGAGAAGCTTCATTCTTTAAGTACCCTGTAATATAACAGATTACAATAACATACAATGTAAATAGATCCTGACTGTAAAATTTATCAAGCTGTGTGTCTGTGTTTCTTTTCATGCAAATTATATTTAATACATTAAATTAAAAAATTAAAACAATATTAAAATATAAATCTGTGTCTGAGTATTCTTATTTACATTAGTATTCATCTATCAAGTAAAATCTGAGAGAACAAAGAAATGCATGGCTTATTTGACTGTTCTATCCTGGTATACACTTTTCAAGAGATGCCACTGACACACCTGCAAGCCATTTGTGAAATACAGACTAGACAGTGGTTTTGTACAAAGGTATTTAACACCTGTGCATGAAGCATCAACCTAACCTTACTGTGTTTCCCTGTTACATCTGTGTCAAAGACAAATATACATTTTTTGTCCATAAAATGCTGAATTATTTCCTGATATCTATGAAAACATTTACTGAAGATCAAGATTTAAATATCCTCTCTATATATGCAAATATAGTAACTTGCCACCGATTACCAGTAGCATAGCTCATTTTCATCATGAATAAGAGTCAGGAAATAAGTTCCTATAAATAAGATTATTAAGGAGAGAGAAGTTAAGGGAAGGGGAAAAGGGGGGAGGGGAGGAAGAAGAGTGAAAAGGAAAAAGAAAAAAGAAAGAGAAAGAAAAGAATAGAAAGAAAAAGAAAAAGAAATAATGAAATAAAAAGAGAAGGTAGAAAAGAAAAAAGAGAAAGAAAGAAGAATAAAAAGGAAAAGAAAGAATGAAAGAAAAAGAAGGAAGGAAGAGAAAAAGAAAAAGGAAAGAAAGAAAGAAAAAGAAAGAATGCAAGTTGCTACTGTGCATGAACTGAAACAAAATAAGACAAAAATAAAATTGGATACTTAATTTTCATGTTTTGCATTTTGAGCTAATCCAGTTATATGTGCACAATTAATTAAATGTAGAATAAACTAAAGTTTTGAAAATAAAACAGGAGATTCATTTCAACATGCCATAATTTGATCTTGGAATTCTGGCATAAGAACAAAATTATATCAGTTACAAAAGCCTTGTTTTGTCAGTAACTACATATTTATAATATGTTGTGAACTTTATTAGTGAGGTAATATGATGCTACACTGCCCGTGGGTTTCTCCACCCACTGCCAGGGAGGTATGAAAGCTCATGGGACACAGTGATAGGCGTCCACACAAGAATACCTACTTCCACTAGTCAGCTGGAAAATCCACTCCTGACACCATGTGCTACTACTGCAACTACTGAGGTGGCCTGGGCTGTGACCATGGCTGTGGCTATGGCTATGGCGGGTATGGTTACGGCTGTTGCCGCCCCCTGTGCTGTAGAAGATACTAGTCCTATGGCTTCTACTGAGGAGTTTCCATAGCTTCTTAGCCTATTGGCTACCACCTTCTGTTTTATAGAAATTATCTCAAGTGCCTTTGAAAACATCAACTATATACAAAATACTCTAAAAAAAATTAAACTCAGCAAGACATCCTCACTCCAGCGTCATTTGCATTTTGTGATCCTTTGTAGAAAATTGTATTATTTTTATAATACTATGTAAAACATGATTAAATTTGACTCATAATTTTATATTAAAATATTTTATTAAATAAACTATATTTCAATATAATTATTGTTTTGTTACTGTTCTCCATTAAGAGTATTGGTTATATATACGTAACTTTATGATTAGTCACAATGCGTGGGTGATGTTTGGGAGAACAACATAAAGAGATAAAGAAAGGAATTTAGGAGACAGACAGAATGAGGGTGAAGAGAAAGCTTGTTGTGATCATCGTGGGTCTCACCAAAATGGGTAAAACATCAGTTCTTCCTCATGAATCACACAAATTTGTCTTACATATATCTTTTAATCTTAACTCCCACTTGTGTACTTACATTTTTTATCTAAATATTTTAAAAGACAATTTGTATAAAAAGGTCTATATTCACCTAAGATCATTTAAAAATATCTGTATCCTTGAGGTCATTTGTGACATCAGGTTTGAATTCTATCAGCTAGAGCTGTGTGTAAAGATTTTTCTCTTAATTTTAATATTTTGTTCTGCCAAGACAATGCTTATAGATGTTGCCGTAGACACATTTCTCATCACTTAGATGAAATCATTGATTCCCACAAGGCTCATGGTCAGCAAGCCCCAAGCAGAAATGGTATGATGAAGAAAAAAAACAGAAACAGAGCTATTCATGTCACGACAGGGGAAGAGAGGAGCCAGGGAGGGAGATAAACCCTCAAGATCACACACCCTGTGACCAGCTTCGTTCCAGGTCCCACCTCCTGAGAGCACACGCAGTTTCTGACACATTAGTGATTAATACACTTTTCCGTATATTACCCTGTGATCCAGTCACCTTCCAAACGCACTGCCTCTGTATGCGTGAGCTTTTTCCAAGACATTCTAGATCTAAAGTATAACTAATGCTGTCATACTGAAAATGTCAGCAAAAATAATGACATTCTGGCTTACCCACAAGGCTCCAAGTAAATCTGTAATACACCAGCTATCTTAATGATTTAGGAAATAATACATGTATTGCAATGATGAAAATCATGAAAATTAGGTGTTCCATGTTTTTGTTTTGTTTCAGTTCTTGTGCAGGCACAAGTTTGTCTTCCTTCCTCCCCCCCCCTCTGGCCCTCTCTCTCTCCCCTCCCTCCTCCCTTACTCCCTTTCTCTTTCCCTCCCTCTCTTTCTCTTTCTTTCTTTTTGGTGCAGTTGTGGTGCTTGAATAAGATATACACAGAGAGAGAGAAACAAAGAGAGGAGCTCTTTTTAGATACTTATATGTCTAAACTGCTTGGGTAAAGATATGAGCTCTTTCTCACTAACCATACAAACTTACTGTACATGTGTCTTTTACTCTTAATTACCAAGTCTGTTGTCTCAGTTCTTGAGAGGTTTTCTTTTTCAAAATCATAACATATTTGGCTAGTAAAAAAAAAAAACATTAGATTTTTATTTATTTCTTATCCCAAACACTGGCCTTTATGAGATGTGTGATCATGCATGCCATTTTCACCAATTAAAACTGATCTCATCCCACAAGAAATTAATTTTGACTTGTGCACAGCAACATAAAATCCAAGGGGTAGCTTTTCTTTTCTTTAAATATCTTCCAATATTGAAAATTAAAATAGTACTTATTTAAAATGATCTTGGGGCCAGGGATTTAGTTCAGCGGCATAAGCACCTGCCTGGCAAGCACAGGGTCATGAGTTCAACCCCCAGTACCATAAAAAAAATGATCCTTACTATAGAATTCATCAAATTGTACTCTTATAATAAATTATTTTATTTTAGGAAAATTACATTAAATAAATTCAAAATTGTAGAGCAATGCATAACACATAAATCCATGGCTTAGTATATCTATTTTTATGAACATGGTACCTATTGCCTAAAATCTGAACAAACAAAGGAGTTCAGGGCTTCTTTGATTCTTCTTTTACTGTTATACACTTGAAAATAAATGTCACTGCCACACCTACAAGCCATCTCTGAGACTGAAAGTAAACTCTGATTTTGTAAAAAGAGACCTATCAGTTGCGGATGGAGCACCCATTTAATTTTAATGTGTTTCACTTTTACATCTGCAATATATTTATGAAGAGGGTCAAAGACAAATATAGACTTGTCCAAAAGTGGCCATGTGTTTACTTAGTTTGAATGTCCTCTATATACAAATGTGATTGTAGCTTCCACCAATTTCCAACAGCGTAAGTTATTCATCATGAACAAGTCAGGAAATAAATTCCTACTAATAGGAGTATTCTAGACTGGAAAGGAGAGGAAAGGGAAGGAGAAATGTAAAGGGATTGAGAAAGGAAAAGGAGGGAGGGAGAGAGAGAGAGACAGAGAGACAGAGAGGTAGGCAGAGACAGAGAGGGAAAGGAGGGTGGGAGGAAGAAACAGAGCATCAGAGGAAGGGAGAAGTGGGACGGAGAGACACAAACTTGTTTCTGTTCAGGGATAGAAACAAAACAAAAATAAAAATGGAACGCCTAATTTTCATGATTTTCATCACAACATGTAATTAGGTCATGCATACACAATTAACTAAATATAGGATAAAGTATTCTTGAGGATAGAACAGGAAACTCATTTTAACAGCTCCTAATTTGATCATGGAATCCTGACATAACAGCAAAATTATTTCAGTTATGAAGACCTTGCTTTCTCAATAAATTCATATTTATGACCATATCTGAAGCTCATTGGTGAGGTAATATGATGCTACAATGCTTGTGGTTTCTCCACCCATCTTCAAGGAGGTATAAAAGGCTCTTGCCACACAGTGATATCAGGACACAAGACAGCCATTTCCAGATCCTCTACAGAACCGCCCACTGCTGACACCATGTGCTACTACGGCAGCTACTATGGTGGCCTGGGCTACGGCTATGGTGGCCTGGGCTGTGGCTATGGCTGTGGCTGTGGCTATGGCTCTGGAGGCTACGGCAGGTATGGTTATGGCTGTTGCCGCCCCCTGTGCTGTAGAAGATACTGGTCCTATGGCTTCTACTGAAGAATTCTCACAGTTTCTTAGCCTGTAGGCTATAACTTCTGTTTTCCTGGAATTATTCCAAATTTTCTTCACATGAAAAACTTGTATGTCCTCAGAAACACCAACTAAACACAACATTATCTTAAAAAAATTAAATTCAGTAAGGCATTTATACTCAATATCATTTTGGTTATGTGATAGGTATAGAAACATGTATGTATTATTTTTATGCCTTATAAGATGTGATCAAATTTGATTCTCATTTTTGTGTAACAAGATACATCATGAAATAAAACTGTCATCAGAAAGAAAGTTGGCTTTGTGCTGTGCTTCTGAATTGTTAGTCCTGCTTCAATAGTTGTGGTGTTTGAATAAGACATATTTGGGGGATTAGAGCTTTTTAGATAATTAGAAGTCTAAACTGATTGAGTAAAAGTATGAGCTCATACTAACCTGCTTTATATGTAAATGTCTTTTAATCTTTCCAACCATTTCTGTTTGCTCATGTGCTTCTCATTGAAAATTTTTAAATGCTAGTTCTGAAATATGACCTGAGTCCATACCAGATTATTTAAAAGTATGAATTGTCATGTTTATGTCATGTATCTGGATTGTATCACCTAGTGCTCTAACTACAAAATATTTTTCATTTTTTAAAACATCTTCTGCAAAAAGGATAATTTTAGGTGTTTTTCTAGATACATTTGTCACCACTTAACACAGAAAACCTAACATCCACATCACAGAGGAGAATCGGTTTATTTTGGTGAGGGCCTGCAGAGACCAAAGCAGAAATGGCATGGTGCCAAGGCCTGGGCGGAACGTAAGCTATTCATCTCATGGCAGACAAAGAGCAGAGAGAGAACAGAGGAGCTGGGGGGTGGGGGACACAGTTTGCTTCCAAGGCCACAGTCTCATGAGGCCCCCATCTGCCAGCAGCAGATCCAGCTTCTAAAACATCAGCAAACGAACACACAGGTGAGTAGAGCACCATGACCCAGTCACCTTTCATTAGCCCTCCTCTGACTGTATCATTTACCAAAGTCCTCTGAAACCCTCTGAGGCTTACACAGATCTAAACTTGTAATCAGTTTCAAAAACACTCCATGTACTCTTGAGAATGTTGAGGTTGGGTTTGATCAAAGTTGATCTATTGTCAACTTTGCTAATTGTATTTTTAAGTCCACTATGTCCTTGCTTATTTATATTTTTATCAGCTCATTATCTCAGTTTTTAAGGTACATATTTTGTTTTATGCTATTATAATTGTGGGAAATATTTTGATTTTAATCTAGCTACCCTACTTGTACCACATTGAGTAAAAATGGCTTAGGGTTTCCTGATGAATTAGCCTCACAACAGTTGTAATATCTTCTTTATTTCTAGCAATTCTATTGCCTTAAACGCTATCATGTTTGATATTAACATACCTGCAGTGATTTTATCTGTTTGCAATGTATAATGTTTCTGTCTTCTCATTTTCCAACACCCTGACACAACATGACAGAACCCTATATATTTTAAACAGCAGTCAGATATTGCATCTAAGTTTGCAAATATTTTTATGAAGTATTTAATTCATTTATATTACTGATCCACTTGGGCTTTAACCTACCCCTCCGCTACCTGCATTGTTTAATTTAATAGTTTTGTTTCATTTCTTCTCTTTGTTTTTCTTGACATATTTAATTATATTCCATTTTCCATTTCTTGACTTGAAAATATTTATCCTCTTACATTTCTTATAGTGGTTCTCCAGAGAATAAAACATGCATTCTTTAGTTGCTGCATCCTATCAGAAATTAGCATTTTTACTATGCACGTATATAGGGCTAGAGCCTTAGAGCATACTTACCAAAATTACACTACTGTCTTTGTTGTTACTGCTGTAAAACACATTGGCTTACATATACTTTCTATTCCACAGAGGAGATGCTACTGTGCTGCTGCTGCTGATGATGATGATGACGATGACAATTAATAAATACAGTATCCATTTATATTTACTTGTATAAATACAGACATTCACCCATTCCTTGTTCCTCACTTTACTTTTGTGTTTCTGACCTAATTCATTTTCTCCTTGTTTAAAGAATTCCTTTAGTAGTATTTCTTTAAGTGCCAGAATGTTAACAACAAAGTCCCTCAGTATTTTTCCCTGAAATTATTTTTATTACTCCTCTTCATGTTTAATTTAACAAATATATTAAGCAAATTTTTATAATATCACTAAAAAAAGAAATCTGATCTGCAATAAAATTTAAATATAGGCATTAATTTGCACACAATTTTATAAATTGCATTTCCATAATAATAGTTTGTGCAATTGAGGACACTACTGAATACACTGAATGAGACTGGAAGACAAATACAAAAAAATTCAGGATATTTCTTACAATAAATTATTCAATTAAGAAAAATAGTACTTCAATCAACCACCAGACTATCAGTAGGACAAAGATCAAGAAATGTCCACCTGTTTCTCTGAATTACTCTTACATTTTGGTCAGTGAGGACGTTGCAGGAAGCATGAGTCCTTCTCAGGAAAGTAACTGGTATTGCATGTAAAATTCCACATTCCAAAAGCCACATATGATCCCACTGCTGTTAACTGATAATACGGTCTCGTGGTTCTTTAACCAGTCTTGCTCAGTTTTGGCACACTGGGACTTTCAGGAGTCACAGTAGTGGAGGTTTCACTGAGATGGGAAACGTTCCCTCATCCCTGCCTCAGCACTGCTCATTTTTTTTATGAATCCTAATTAAAATCTGAATATGTTTGCATGTTGGCTTGTTTTCTTGCTTGTTGCTTGCTTGTTTGCTTGGTAGGAGTCACTATTAAATCCAGATTATTCATACTGAGTTATACCCACAGCCCATTTTAGTCTTTATTTTGAGATAGAATTTCACTAAGTCGCCCAGGGTAGGCTGGAACTTGTGATCCTCCTGAGTCTCCTGGGGTGCTGGGATTATAGGTGTTCACCATGATGCCCAGCTAAGAATCCTAAATTTAGAAAGATGTCTTTGCCTCACTATGACATAAAACTTTACAAGGCTATAAATGTAGATTTAGCTCATAAGACATATAAAATCTACCTCTGGAAATAGATAAATATATGATGGAAATGGATGTGCACAAGTACACAGTGAACTCCATACTGAATCAAAAACTCCCCAATGCAAAGATGATACAAATTGAAATAAGAATGATGATATCTGTTTACTAGGTTTTATGGAACAAAGAATCTATAAATGAATTCATACATGTAAGAAATCTATGTCTATTGTACAGTATATTTAAAAATTTTCAAATCCTAGAAGATGATCATCCATTGGTAATATCATTATGTATTTCCTTCCACAAATTTTCATTCATATATCAAGATATTGTTTCTATATTACATGATTCTTAATTGAATAAAAATAAATATCAGCAAAAACGCAACTTAAGAATTTCCCTAACAGATGAAACATAGGCTCTATACAAAATTGCAAGGAATAAGGGATGTCTGCATGGGCTAAGAATTGTTTATTAGACACAGTTTGTTTGAATAGAAGAGTCGAGAGAATTCCAGATGTCACTTATTTATCAATATGTTTCTCTTTTTGACCAACAATAAAGTCAAGAAATTTCAGTCAGAAATAGGAAGCCGAATCTTCTTGTGCTTGGTCCCCACCCTCTACTGAGATAACAGTGGTGCATCTTCATATAGTAAATCTGTAAGCTCAGAAAACTAGGTCTCAGCCACTCAGTGAAGCCTACTACTCTTGCCAAAATGCTCTTGCCAGGTTGTGGCTCTGGCTACCACCATTCATTTTGTTTTTGCCACATCAGATTCTACCGAAAAACTTCTAAAGACATTTGGACTACTGTCTCCTACATTCAGGGTCTGAGATATTTTTACAAAATATCTTTCATGACCCTGTTACAAAAATGAACATTTCACCAGACTACTGAAAAATAAAACCAAACCATACTACTCTTGATTCAGTATTTTTCAAATAGATTTAAGAAAATTATATTAAATATCTCATTTTTGTAACTACTCTAATTTTCTGTATCACATTTTTATACTTCTTTATAGTTTACATAACATTTGTAATTTTTTTCAATAAATCACCTGTAATCAACGTTATTTTGTTTCATTTTTCTATAATAGGTGTAATTATCATGTATTTTTAATTGTGAGTACTAAGGAGAAAGAGAAAGGAAGATAAAATCTGTGAAGATTCTTCTCCTTCAGGAGAAGTGGACTACATGATCTTTCTGCTTCCCTAGAAATCTGTCGGCTGGGGGCACACCTCCGGGCATAAGTAACAGCTAGATTTTTCTGGGTGAAATAATAAACCTCTCATTGTGTGGTATTTTTCCAGTGTAATTAACAACTTGATCATCATGAACTCTTTCTCTGGGTCTCTGCTTTACCTGTTGCTGTTCTATATGATGCAGAATGCATCTATAGGCTGATGACTCTCATGACCTTTGTCAGCACTCTGTTTCTCCCTTTTTGGCTATCGATAGAAATATACAAATCATATTCCATGTAGCTCTTCCCTTTTCAGGTGCAATTAAATACTGACCAGAATTAAAACTGACCAGAAGTCACTTTTATCATGAGAAATATTGCTTGAAGTATTTTTGACGTTTATCACTGTATCAGGAAACTGCAACTAGTGATTTTAGAATAAACTAATACAACAAAGGAAAGGTTTTATTAATATTTCTTCTATGGAGCTTAAAAATAAAATAATGAATTAAACTTGCATTTCAAAAAACAATATATAAAAATGGCTAATAATATATAATGATATTCAGATCTATAAGCCATCAAGGAAATGCAAAATGAATCACTACTTACCTGCCAGAATACTACAGGAAAACACACTGTTGCGTAGGATGTGGAGCAGTGGCCTGGATAGTTGGAGGACACAATCACTTTGGAAAACTGTTTGGTAAAGTGCCCACAGAAACTGTGCATTTTTGTGCATTGTAATCTGTGATTTCTCATTCCAGTGACACAAACAGCCAAAACACATCTGTGGCCAAATGAATTGTTCTTCCAGTGCTTATTTCTTGCTCTCAGCCTTCACAAAAGGATGATATGTCCTTTCTCCACTGTTGTTGGCTTAGCTGTAATATTTGTGGCCAAATATCATAATGGACAGAGTGGAAATGGACCAAGTGTATACCACCTGGGATAGACATGAATGGACATGTGGGTAGAGCCTCAGAACTTGCTT